CTCTTAGCTGTTTGCTGTCGCTTTAACTATTGGAAAATGGAATTGAATTAAGCCTGCTTTGCCATCCAATTAGTTGGCACGGTTTTAAAAGAAAAACAGAGCGGACAGGGAATTTGTCGAGCGGCCCAACTAAGAACTGGCATTAGCGCAAAGTTTGGCAAACCCAGGCAGCTAGCCGGCAGCTCTGGCAAACTTTTTCCGGAGGAAAAATGCAGTGCATTGCTGTCATTTAATGAGTTTTTCCAGTGCGGCGAAAAGCATTTTCCTGTCAGGCGAAAAGCGAACGCTTTAAATCGGTACAAGGACAACCGAGGGTATTCTTACTGTCCTTGCAGATACATATTTATATATATAGAAGGTATATATATCTGCATTTATATTTAATTATTTGAGCACTGTTGTTGTTGCTCTAGATTTTCGCGACAGGATGCTGAGCGCAGCGCTGAATGTTGAAATTTAATTATGCTGCCTGCATTTCGTTTCGTCTCGTGTTGGTTTATTTTTATTGCTTACTTTTCGTTTCTGCGATTTTTAGTCCGCAAAACGTCTTGAGAGGGAGTGGTGAGTGTAGAGGATGCCTCTGCTGCCTGGCACACGCGTGTGGCACAGCCACAGCCACTTGACTTCTGGAGTGGCACTTTTCCCGCTGGCTTTTCCCCCAATGACTTAACCCCCGAGAGCTGTAGAGATGCTTAAATGCTAAACACGCCCGCCGCCTGGCAAATTAGCTCCAACTCCTGGTAGACCTCCTGATATTCCTTTTGCTCCTCTCTGAAACTCCTTGGTCGGATCTGCTGCTCTTCCCTGCTCATTCCTGCTTTTTTCCTGCTCATTCCTGCTTTTTCCAGCTTCCCCCCCTACTCCTTTTCCTCAACAGGTTCTTATCGAATTTCAATTTTGGGGAAAAACTTTCAATTGCACTTCACAGCTCGAGTTGATATTATTATTAGTTCGATTTGATTACATTTTGATATGATTTCAATTCCGTTTTTAGAATTTGTTTAATTGGTAAAAAGCTAAAGCAATTTGGATTGTCTTCCTCTGAAGAGAAAGATAGATAGAGGAGAGATTTACGATTTACAAATTTACGATTGTGGTGCACCACCAGAAGCAGCACCCTTTATCACTCGTCATTTCTTTCTTTCCACATGCTCCAATTCATTTGGAAGCGATTTGTGGTTATTTATGGTTTGTTTGTCTCATTGGCAACTTGCTGCATAAATTTTCAATAATTATGGAAAATAAATCTAGCTGTGTGTGTATGTGTATGTGTGTAAATGCAAAATCAACAAGAAAAAGAACGCAAAATCAGTCAAGTATTTTCCTTATATTTTCCCGTGTTCCTTTTCTTGCCCAGGTAAGGCGGTCCGAGAGGTGTGAAAACGGTTAGGAGCAGAGTTTAGAGGATGGGTTTCTTTTGGTCGAGTGTTTGGAAAATAAACGATGTTGTCTATGACAAGGCATGACGGTAATGACCAAACGCTCTCGCTTGCTCGGACCAGAGAGATTCCCCATCTAGCAACCTGGAACCATCTCCATCTCCATCTAGAAACTCGCATCCAATCCATCGCTGCTCCTTCTTGGCCAGCCCTCACATCTCATCTGGTTTTTATTTTTTTTTTAGCAGCGTCATTGTTGCCAAGCTCCTTCTCGGCAGCTTTGTTTTTGATTTACTTATACAAAAGGCACTGAGAATTATTCTAAAAGGGTTTAATACCAAACCCAAAAGTATTTATTTGAATAAGTTTGGCTTAAAAAAAAATTAAAGAAGAGGTAGTTACACAAGTAGATATTATTTTATACCAAGATATATCTAATATCTTGTAACTTTTTTATCTTAAAGATACTATTCTTCTTTATATATAAATAAATGAATTTTTCAGTAACCTGTTTTTTATCATCTTTGCTTTTCTTTCACTGAATATTTTTTATAAATATTTTTACAGGCATATTTTTCATTTTGTTTTTGAAAATTTTCAAATTCAAGGTTTTGCCCGGTGTGTGTGTGCTTCACACCTTTTGGCAACAGAAAAACAAAAAAAAAACCATAGCAAAAACCTCTATTTTATACCCGCCACTCCACGCCCCTACTTCTCTATGTTTTTCTTCATGTTTCCTCCTCGGTTTTTGTTTTGTGCATCATCATGGTCCCAGAGTTTCTGGGTTCCCGGATCGCCTCTGAGTTTCTGGAGAGGCTGCTCAGCCTCAGCCTCAGCTTCAGCCTCTGGGCTGCCTGCTATCAATGGCAAAACCTTTTTGGATTGTTATTTTTGCTGTCTGCACTTGTGAGGCTGACTGGCATCATAAATCATCTCAAGTGGCTGCTGCCGCTGCCGCCGCCGCCGCTGTTGCCGCTCTCAGACCCCTCTTCAGTTGGCCAAAATCCTGCTGCTATTTCGGCTTTTGTATCTATAACTACAGCAATTTGCAAGTGCAGCTCGCGGATACACAAGAGCCATACATACACTCATCACGCGGACTGTCAGTTGAGAACTTTTGACATTTTTGTTGCACTAATTTGCGCACTTGAGCGGATTACTGTTGCCAGTGACAGATAAAGATATATAAATATATATATATAAGAGATGCGGTGGCACTCGGAAACAATTTATAATTTTGAAAAGGGAGTTTTAAGGAATGTATCTCGAGATACATTATTGTTTTATGTAAATTTTACAATATATTACAGTAACAATTGCCATCTCCCTTAGCTCTCTTAATCCGTGAGTTACCTGTTTGCAAAGATACTCGAATCTCTCGTCTCGAGTTTACTGCATCCATGAGATACATTTCTATACCGATTTTTTTTTTTTCGTGGCGTTAAACTGACAACAGCTGTGCGAAATACAAACGCCAACGAAAAGCAGGTAAAGATACCTGAGAGGAGAACGAAGGGAACACAGTCCCCGTGTCCGTCAGTCAACATTGCGCGTCCCTTTGATTTTTCTGCACTTTTCGAGCAGGTTTTAAGCCGCTTTTATTGCCCCAGAAAAGCGGCAACAGCGCCCAAGAAAAACAGCTGCTGGAATTTCTATGGATCAGAGAGAATCGTTTCATATCGAAGTGTATTCTTTCACCCGCGAAACCTGAGATCTTGATTGAAATTGATATTTCAAATTGGGAGATTTTTTTGAGGCCAGGTATTTCTTTTGGAAATTTATGGAAATATCAAAAATATTTCACTTTTCAACTTGAATATATTCATAAATATGATGTAAACTAATAGATACATTATTTTCAAGATACTTGAAGAAACCCTACTTTGTTTTACAAATTTCTTAAATAAACTATGACTTGGTGATTGAAATATCTTTTCTTAAAATAAACATTTCAAAAGCCGAAAATGCATTTTACACAAGAAAATAATGAAGAAATCTTTCAAAATGTGTGGTAAAGATTCCACATAGCTAATGGATAATGCCAATACTTGCTGTTGTTTCAGTCTAGAAAATTTCAGATAAACAAGAAAAACAAATACAAGTATTGTTTTAAATCAATTTTAAAACATTTCTGTATTTATTTTTCTTTTTAGTAATATTTCTCTCAGATTTTTAAAAATACACATTTTCTTCAATTGCACAATTTATGAACTTCATAAAGTTTCCCCTTCAATTAAGCATTAATTTCACAGACAAAAAATCCCCGGAGACTGATTGAATCGAACGTTTTTCGGACTCTTTTAACAATTTGCTTAATTGCGAATCGCCACGAATCACTTCACATTGTCCCGGGAGTTTTGCAGACTCGAAAAAATAAAAAGAAATAAAATTGAAATAAAAATCCAAAGAACCAAGAAAGGGGAAAAGAATTATTCTTGGTTATATGCCCGTGTATATATGCCTATAAATCCATCCGCCTGCGGAGCTGGCCCGTTGATTGCCGTCGGCATTGATTTATGGGCGCTCCCAAAGAGAAGATACAGAAAAAGATACATTTTGACAACACATGGCGGTAGCAGAGTCATAGAAGACAACGAAGACGACGACGACGACGGAGCAATAACCATTTGCGTTTGTTCATTAAACAAATGTGCAAAAAAAAAAAAACAACAGAAAATTAAATGAAATTGTAAAGCGGCGGAAAAAAAAACACTAAACACCCAGAGCACACACACTAAAAACTAATGAAAATAAATTATTAACTATGTTTGGCATTTTGGCTAATGTTTTTGGGTATTTCCCCGAAACAAATTATGGCACACACACACACACACAGAAAATATGTCCAAAAACCGTTTGAAGTTGACGCTTGAATTTATTAATGCCACTGCAAATATTTATTTAAGGTTGAGTTATTGTTTAAATGTTTAGCTAAAACATTGTTATTTATTATTATGAGTGTTTTTAGTTACACTTGAGCGGTAGGTAGTGTTTTGGTTTGTTTATATTTTTTTATGGAGTTAATTGTATTGTTTATTTAAGTTAAGTGTTTACATGTTCATAAAACCAAGTTCAAGCTTTAAAGTAAATCCTAATTAATAACTTTTTCAAGCTTAAACTTATTCAATTGTAATAAATGTAGTTATAAGAACAAATCATTTTATATATTTAATTTGCTTTATTTAAATATTTAACTAATAAATTCCTGCTTTAAAAAAATATTTTTTTCTTATATTTCCCTTTCCAAGCTTCCTTTGTTTTTTTGTTTAACATTTAAATACACCCTTTTTCGGTTTATTTATTATTTTTTTAAGTCGGTTCTTTTGCTTGTCAGTTATTTTCTTTAATCAATTAATTCAAATATTTCTTCAATTAAAAATATAAAGTATGTTTGCCTATTTTTTTTAGAGTTAAAAGGTTTGTAAATATTATTTTCCCTTCGTTTTAAAAAGATTTTCTTACTGATTTTATTAGTTTTTAACCACAATTTGCTTTATTTTTAAGCAAAATGTAAAGCGTAACGCATTTTTCACCAAGTTGTTGTTGTTTTTCTATGTTTTTACTTTGTTACTATCTCTTACTGCTCTTTTTCTTTGAATTCTTTTTGTTTTTGTGACCTACATTTTGTTGTTGTTGCTTCCTCCTTTGGAAAAATTGCAAGTGTTGCAATTGTTGTTGTTTCTGCTGCTTCCTGATGCTGCTGCTGCCGTTGTTGTTATTGATGCTTATTTTTTATCCAAAAATTCGTTAGTTTTTCTTTTACATTAATCCAAGAAAAACAAAAAAACAGTTGTAATCCGTTTCTTTTTGTATTTGTTTTGGTATTTATTTGGCTTTTACCGTTTTTATTACGTTTTGCATTTCGTTACGTTTTTCTCTTTCTCTCTATTTCTCTGGCACTTTGAGCACTTGAAAAAAATTGCGACACAAAAAAGGAATTTATAACAAATACATGTACGAATGAATTATGCGAAAACAAACCGTGGAAGAGGGAAAAATCAGGAAAGCATTATATTTAAACCAAAAAGGATTTTTTTGTTGAAGCAAAAAAAGATGCGAAAACAACAACAAATGCTGAAGGAAATAATACAAAAAGGAAGAAAAAAACGATGCACACACACACGCTAAGGCGGGCGGGCGCGCGCTATAAACATATAAACACACACGCACAAACGCTGGGCAGGAGGACAGGAGACGCGGTTGCGAGTGCAAGCGAGACGGCGCGAAAGGAGACACTCACACACAGACACACGCTCGTCGTAGTCGCGCGTCGTGTGGAAATTCGAAGTCGCACTTCGTTACGACTTTTCCGTTATCCGCGGCGGAGCCGTGACGTCGCGTTGGAAAATGAAGAAAATTTTGAAAAAAAATAAAGTTTGCGGCTCGTACTTATAGGCTTCGCTCTCTTCTGCTGCCGCCAACCACCGCTGCGCTCTTTAGCAGCGCACCGGCGTTTCGCTCTCTCGCAGTCTCTCTCTCCCGCGAGCTGTTAAAGGGCGCTGTTAAAGCCGGCTGCTGGCTGCTATTACGGTTTACTGCTAGCTAACAGAAGCTCACAGGACTTGAAAATATTATTTATTTATTTATATTTAATGCTTAAAGTTAATAAAATGTTGCCCAATTGTAGTAAATACTAAGAAGTAATTGATTGAATAATTTAAATGATAATATTTCGACTGTTTACTAACTTAATTTTAAAGAGCTAGAGTTTAAAATTGATTAAAGAAAATAATTTTTTGTTATATATTTTGTTTACAAATATAATTAAATTTACCAATTTTAAATAAAAAAAAAATATATATATATAACGCCAAAAACACATTTATTTCAATTTAAAAAGCCTTTCTGAAGTAGTTGTTATTAGATAAACAAATGGAAATATTTAATAAAATATAAAAATATAATTTTTTTATTAAATTTTTTATTTTTAGCGGACATGGCTAGTTGAATATGATCGGAAATGTCTTCTTACTGCAAAATTTCTGACTAAAGTTATAATACGCGAGGGTATACAAAAAAAAACGAAATAATAGCAGTAAAATGTAATAAACATTTAATTTATTTATTTATTGTTACAGTGGCAGAGAGCTGTAAGGCAGAGATGCTGTGCTGTCTGTTAACTTCGCTCTGTTGTCCTGCTCTCTCCATAAAACCTGTTTTTGCACCAAAAAAAACAAAAAAAAAAAGAAGAAACAAAGCCAAAGGAGAGAAAGAGAGAGAGAGCCAACGGGTCACACTGTTATAAACAGGATTTGGCCAACAGTCTGTTAGCCGCCACAGGTTTCTGTTGTTGTTTGCTGACATTTTTCCAGCATCGCCTTTATACGATTTTTTGTTATTTTATGTTTATTTTTATTTAAATGATCAACAGCTGTTATAGCTTTGACTTGTTAATTATTTAAGTAATTTAGGAATTTAATACAAATAAATAAATTTGTATATTTCTAGATTAGTTTAAAAGGGGACTGGAAGATTTATTTTTAAATATTTATATAGAATGAGGATTTATTCTTATATTTATTGTAGTAGATTTTATTTTATTTATTTAATTTTTTGCTCGATTTTTTCTATATATTTAACATTTTAATATTTGTGTTTTTTGTTTATATTTTATAAAGTAATTTATGTTATTAGTTTTATGTAACTATTTACTTTACTCTTACTCTTAGCCCAACTCAATACTCCTAATCCTACTCTCTTGTAATATTTCGCTCTCTTGCTCTATTTTCAAGAGCCGCTCTTGTTTACATTTCATTCCCACTCTTTGACATATCCTTTTTGGTATTACCGTAGTATACTGCTAGTATAACAGTCTGTTTATAGCTAAGAGCCACACTCTTATACGGTGGCTAACTTGGCTAATTTTCGGAGAACACTTGTTGCCTGGGTTTTGCATTTTTAAGCGATTAATTTCGGGATTTGCCATAAAGTTGGAGTCTTCACATTTACATATTTTTAAGCCTCGTGTGAGTTTATTTTGTTATGCATTTTTTATGGGATTTTCTTATGCAAAATACAAAGACAAAACAATTTCTAGAATACTGGACGATCGTAGCGCTTTACTTCCCTCCCTTTCCCTTGTAATGTGACACCGTAAGAAACAAAAACAAAAAACAAAAGAGAGCCAAGAAGGCGTTAACAGTTACGACATTTGGCCGCATTTCTCTTTCTCTTTCGCGCACGCACTTAGCAGATGACAAAAGCAGCAACAACAACAACAAGAATAATAAGGTCAATCAACGAACTCAGCAGGCGGCGGCTGCGCAGTCGGCGTCGCTGTTAACAGCTGTCGCGCAGGCGCGATAAGACAAGGACAGCATGATGCGATGGTGTGCCGTAAGAGAATGAGAGGGGGAGAAAGGAAAGGAGATCTTACACGGAAAGAAATTCAAGTCAAAAATAAATGGAAGTTATTATTTGTAAACTGCGATTACAAATAATTCATAAAAGAATATGAAATAAAAAAAATATATGAAAAAAAAGTGTTTTAAAATTGAAATCAGTAATAAGTAATTAATGAAAAAGTCTCAGATAAATTTTATTTTATTTTAGTGTAGGAAAAACAATTATTTTTTGATTTAAATTTCAAATAATTTAAATTGTATCATTCTTATTTATTTATTATTAATTTTTTTTTTTTTTTTAATTCTCTTTTAATTTTATTTATTTATTTATTTTTTATTTTCAATTCTTTTTTAATTTTAATTATTTTATTATTTTTAGTTAAACAAATATTCGTAATACTTATTTTATTTATATATTTTTATTTTTATTAATTACTAGTTTTATTTCAATAGTATTTCCTTATTTCTTTCAGTGTCAAAGGCCTTAGATTAATTGCAGCGTTGGCGGCGTGAATTTATGAATTTCACATGAGTGATGGGATCTTACTTCCCCTTCCCCTTCTCTCTTGTTTTCCCATTTTCTTTAATTTTTTTTTTTTTTTTTTTGAGCGCCACCACTTGAGGAAAGACGACAACATATTTTTGAAATTTTCCCATTTCGTATTTGTTGCGTTTGTTTGTTGCGTGGGCCCACATTGTTGTTGCCTTTATTATAGTTGATAGTTGGCCATTTGTTATTGGTAAGCTGATCCGTTTCGGTTGGCCGATATGAATAAATATATATATCTTGTAAACCAGGGATAGTCCACCAACCAACCAAACAAAAAATACAAAATAAATAGAAATAATGGGAAACTTTCAGCCATTCATCAAATTTCTTTTAATAAAAATCTCACAAGATTTAAAAATCTTTCAATGAAAATATTAGAAAATTTTGGAGAAATTTTTTCTGATATTTTAAAATTAATTCTTAATCATTTTAACAACATTTTTTAACCAAAAACATGTTTTTTTGGTTTTATTTATATTTAAAAAAAAATTCCTTAAAAATTATTCTATAAATCATACTATTTAACTCCCTTTAAATCCCCTAAAAACCATAATTTTTTTAGCCTCTACCCCCAACAAATGTCAATGATTTCCGTTTTTGGCTACCCAAGCTAATTGCCGCTGAACTTTCAACTTTGTTGTGACATGCAGAGAAAAATTCAATTAAGCCAAATCAGTCGGCAATTAAACAATTGAATATAATTACGCGAAATTATGGTAAAGAGAAGGGAGCCCAAATCGCGGACTAAGCCAAGACAAGCGAAAAAAAAACAACAACAAAAAACTGCATAATTAATAAAGAAGTAAGCCGCGATGAGCTGACGAAGGTCTAAAGTCTGAAGAGCCACAGAGAACCCAACTCACAGTGGGACGTCTTTGCGGTCAACTCCTACTGCTTTTGAGCATTCCATCTTTATCTGTATATATATATATCCCATATCACATCATCAACCCCCGATCCCGCCGTCGTCAAGTCACCTTTTCAACTCAACTCGGCTCGTCTCGGCGAGCAACTCAGCTCCTTTAATGAAGTGGATAAGCAAACTCAGGCGAGTATCCCACAGAGCTGTTGTATCTCCCAACTATGCACTGGGAGAAACCGCAGACTTAATTGAATAAAAAATATATAAAAAATAAAAACGAAATATAATAAAGTTGGAAAAAAAAAAACAACCATAATATTAGTAATTTTTATAGCAGTTCCTATAAAATAAATAAACTTTGAGGAGAATGTCTTTAGAAAACGTCAATTAAATAATTTAAATTTTTTATAAATTTACAAAGTTGTAATTTAAATAAATTATATTCCATAAAATATTAAAATTTTTAATTTAAAAGAAAACAATTAAACCCTTTAAAATCTTTTTAATATTTTCAAATATTAATATTTTTTTACCAGTGTAAATGTATCTTCTGGATGCTATAAATCGCCTGGCGGATGTGTGTGTACAGTTATAATTAAGTGATACACATAAACAGGCGCCCATGGCTCTGCTCCGCTCACTCTCCACTTTATTTCGTATCTCCAGGTCTCAGTTTCTGTTTAATGATTGTTTTCAATTAGTCTGTTTCGGTTTTCCACGCTTTTGAAACCCCCCCGTCTCAATGCCAAGGGTTAAGGTATTTTCGTATTTTTTGTTTTGGGTTTACCCTTCATAACCTTTGCCGGGTATTATAAATTTAGTCAACAGTTTGGAAAGCAAACGATTGGAAAATGTTATAAGTATTTTTATTTTAATAAATAAATAATTATTA